TCCATTTGAAAAATCAAAGTTGCTACTGCTTTCTAATAGAAGCGGCAACACCGCATTGTCGAAAATATTTTAGTTGGCTAGAGAATGTCCGAATATGCCCTCCATTAAATTTTCAAAGTGATCCGTTGTCTGGTTCACCAGAAACGTCTAATGTGCCATCCACCGTGAATCAGCCTGTATAAACAAAATGACTGTACTAAAAAATTCCACGAACAATTCCTAACAGATCTCTGCAGACGATTTATTCAGTGTGTAAAAGCCAAATGAAATAAAGTCATTATTTCGGTTGCGGTACAACAATTTTTAACAAGTTCCAGAAACACGTCAAATTTAAATTATAATTTGACATACCTCAACGGAAAAATGCTACCCCTACCTTCAACCCCGTCCAATGACAGGTACAACCCTCAATTTTTTTAAAGGGAAGTATAGGCTTGTGATATATCGTTTGATAGGTCTCTTCATTATTATCAAAAGCTTTCATTTAACTTGACTTGTATGTATGTTAACAAATCTTGCAAGTTTAATTTGACCCACTTCCCGTATCCGATTGACCTGAAATTTTGCATGCTGGTCCAGAACCGATAACAATGCACGTTAATCATAAACGTGACCTGTTGCTGCTGCCAGGATCGGCTCCGTACGAGAGATCTACACGGCGGTAAATAGCAGGGACACGAAATTTTGAATACGCATTCGTTTATGATAGGCAGTTGGTAGGCCCACCATGAAATAGATGCCACATCCAGGGTTGGCTTCAATAGATGAACTTTCGTATTGATCGATAACTGTCGATTCAAATTAAAAAATATAAAATAAAATAATGATAAAGGAACTTTTTAAACCAGGTTTTTTTTCAGTTTCCTTAAAAGATCAAAATAAAATTTTAAATCACATTAAAGCTTGTCGCGATAATTTCAATTTGTAATTGAAATTTTGTAATTAGGTAAACACCTACTAAATTTGTAAGCAATTCATAATGTTTGTAATTAAATAAAAGTGCCGTGAATGCTTAAAATGTGTAACTTTAACCTTGAGTAATTTTTTTGCACACATAGGATTTTTCGGGTTTGAAATTCATTGCAGTACCTAGTTGATCTGTCAGAATGTTTCTTAATTTAAATTTCATCTGACTGAATATGTAAAGATTTTTTCTTGGCATCGCGACAAGCTTTTATTATAATTTCAACTCTGTAAAGTCATAATTGAATGTGATTAATGTAATTTAAAATTTCATTTTGATTTTTTTAGGGCACTTAAATAAAAGCTTGTTCTGAAAGTTTTTTATCATTATTTTATTCTCTATTTGAAAATGTTATCGCTTTCAAGTTTATTGTAACAATTAAAATGAAATAAATTAAAAATATGTGGTTACACAGCTATGTACACATAATTTGTGTTACTTTCTTCTTTGTTATTTATGTTAATCTAAACCAGTGGTTCCCAAACTATGGGTCGCGACCCACTATTGGGTCGGAGCGCAATTTGGGTGGGTCACGGAAACATATTGAAAACACCTAATATTTTTGAATTGTTTTTATCAGTTTGGATGAAGGCTAGAAAAGAGTATCCAGTTCTTTTGAACATAGCCTTAGAAAAACTGATGGGGTTTTCAACCATATATTTGTGTGAGAGGGCATTCTTCACTTGTATATATGAAAAATGAATATAGAAATAATATAGAAATAGGCTTTGTTTGGAAAGTGATCTGCGTTTGAAGCTGTCAACTTTCAAACCAGATATAGAATCTTTTGTAAATCGTAAGCAACAGCTCCACAAGTCACATCAATTACATAAGTCTCATTTTTTAATTTTTTGTATTTGTTTAGTTTTGAGATTCTGAATTAAAAGTTTTTTTTCGTACTGTATTTTATCTTCAATTATATCAACTTCACCATTTTCTTTAAGAGGTATTTTGCTCAATAGTGAATTTCCACAATAATAATAATTGGTAATAATTATTGGTAATAATAATTATACTTGATATTATTTGATATGTGGGTCGCGAAAACAATTCCACAATGAAGGTGGGTCCCCAGACAAAGAAGTTTGGGAAACGCTGATCTAAACGAATTCTATTTCACCGAAATAAACGATCTTTTTGTGTATAAGAGTATTTGTGACATTAAAAGTAATGCTTCTGGTTCTGATGGTTTAGATATAAGACTGATTAGCTTGCCCTCATATTATTCCTTACATTACTCATATTATAAACTTTTGTCTGCAAAAAAATATTTTTCCTTAGTCATGGAAAGAAGCAGTAGTTCAAATAATCCCTAAGGAAAAAAATCCTCTAGAATATAAAGATCTTAGAGGTATAAGCATATTCTCCACCCTATCTAAGGTGGCAGAAGAAACTATTGAATTACAGATACTTAATTATATAAATCAATATA